GTTTTTTTTTCTTTTTTTCGTATCCTTCCTCACTTCTCTTCCCCCTCTTCCTCCCCACCGTTTTCCTATTTACTTTTGTATTTTGTATCTTATTTTATAACTCAATAAAAATGTTAAATGGTTAGAACATGAGTTGCTCTCCGCTTATGGTACTATTGAAAAAACACAGGTACAAATAATGATACAGAGAACAAATTGTTTATGCTGCTAATTCTATAGCACTGAATTAAGCTTGTAGTTTGTATTACCTACAAATTTCATTATAGTCTGTTGGTGGTAGACCATGTGGCTGCACGCAAGGAAAGCAGCAAAAGTCTTTCTTTCTCTCCCCCAAACTCTGCCAGACATGAGTCTTTGTGAGACTTGTTATGCCGGTGCAGCCTCTTGGAGCAGGATGCCTTGCAGGGTCCCAAAGACTCATGTCTGGTGGAGTTTGGGGGAGAGAAAGAAAGATTTTTGCTGCTTTCCTTGCGTGCAGCCAAAAGCAGAAGAAGAAAGAAGCGGAAAGAAGCAGCCTGGTGGCCAGGCGAGGTGCGTAGGGTGCGTGGGACAAGTCCCCCCACTCTGCCCTTTCCCCCCTCCCCTCACCACCTTGTGTTGTTCGCAATGCAAGTGACGTAAGCCTTGTGTTCCTGTGGGCTATGTGGGCAGCGCAGCCTTGTGTTCCCACGCAGCCTGGATTAATTGCTTTGGGGTTTGTTCGGGGGTGACATTTCTCTGTGGACCACCAAATTTTTCTCATGACCACCAAAATTTTCTCGTGACCACCAAAATTTTCTCGTGACCACCAAAATTTTCTCGCGGACAGACCACCAATGGTCCCCAGCCCACTGGTTGGTGACCACTGCTTTAGAAAACAGCTTGACCCCTTCCTCTCTGTGGCAGCCGCTCAAATATTGGAAGACCTCTATCATGTCTCCCCTTGTCCTTCTCTTCACTAGACTAGCCATGCCCAGTTCCTGCAACCGTTTGTTGTATGTTTTAGCCTCCAGTCCCCTAATCATCCTGGTTGCTCTTCTCTGTACTTTTTCTAGAGCCTCAACATCTTTTTTTAAAAAAATTCTTCTAGCCTTAACCACCAATTTAACAATTCAGCTCCTTCAGCTGTGCTTGTCAAAAGAGTGACTGGTTTGTGACTTGGCATGTGGCCAGAGCCACTGTGGTTTGCAGACAATTGTGAGAGTTCAGTCTACAGTATATGGCACAAACCCAGACATTGACTCAATGGGCAATAATGAAGCCGCTTCTTAACACAAGCGTGCAAGCCAGATCTAGCACGAATCCTAGTTTTCCTCCGTAGTCAACCCTGCTGATGTGGAAGACGCCTCATACAACTAGTCCTCGACTTACACCAGTTCATTTAGTGACCGTTCCAAGATACAACGTCACTGGGGGAAAAAAAGTCCCTTAGGACCATTGTCCACACTTACAACCATTGCAGCAGCCCTACAGTCACGAGATCGACATTCAAGACCCTCGACAACTGACTCTATTTATGACGGTTGCAGTGTCATGGCCTCCCCTTTGGTGACTTTCTGACAATCAAAGTCAGTGGGGAAGCCTGATTCATTTAACAACCAGGTTACTAACGACTGCAGTGATCCCCTTAACAACGGTGGCAAAAGAAAGGCTGTAATAGGGGGCCAAAGCTCACTTTTAGAAATGTCTCACTTGACAACAGAAATGTGGGGCTTGACTGTGGTCGTAATTCGAGGACCACCTGTACGAAATACCTCCCCCCTTCTGAAGCATTTTCTTCCCTATCCTGATGCTTTCCAGAGGCACTAGGCCACAGATTTAACAGATAATCAGAGTTGGAAGGGACCTTGTAGGTCATCTAGTCTAACCCTCCACCCAAGCGGGAGACCCTACACCATTTCTGACAAATGGCAGTCCAAACTCTTCTTGAAAGTCTCAAGTGACGAAGCTCCCACAACTTCCAAGGGCAACTTCCGTTCCATGGGTTGATTGATTTAACCTGGAAATCAGGAGAAACTTTCTGACAGTGAGCACAATGAACCCATGGAACAGAAGTTGCCCTCAGAAGTTGTGGGAGCTTCGTCACTTGAGACTTTCAAGAAGAGTTTGGACTCCCATTTGCCAGAGATGGTGCAGGGTCTCCCGCTTGGGTTGGACTAGATGACCTACAAGGTCCCTTCCAACTCTAATGATCTGTTATCTGATTGTTCTCACTGTCAGAAAGTTTCTCCTGCTTTCCAGGTTGAATCTCTCCTTGATCAGTTTCCATCCAGTGTGGCTACAAGTGCCATCACGGACATTCTCCTGTGTGTCGCGCAGTGCAGCGCCTCTGAAAAGCAGAGCTTGGAGAAGGTCGTGCCAAGCGCTTTCCACCCCCACCCTCTTCAAGCTGTCACCCACGCTCCTTTCACCCACCGACCTCCTTTCCTCATTCTCCGTCCGCTCTCGCTCCCAGCCGCTCCACACGATTCCCAGCCGGCTTACGACGGCCACGACTTACCCGACTGATTGCCGGCCGCCGAGAGGTCCAGGTGCCACCACAGCAGCTGGAGCAGCAGCCGGAGCGCCCCGAGGAGCCCCGGGCGCATTGTCGAGCGGCGCCTCGGCAGGAGCCGCCAGTTCCGATCGCCTCCGCCCGGCCCGAACAGCGGCCGTCTGCAGCTGGCGGCGGTGGCCGGAGGAGCGCGCGCCTCGAATAGCCCCCTCCCCGCGTCACGCGATTGGCTGAAGGGGCCAAGCCTCCCTTCGTTCATTGGTCCCCCCCGTCCCCCCACCCCCCCCCCCCCCCCGGCTGGTCAAGCCGCCCCGTCGAGGAAGAGCGGATGAACATCGACGCAATGAGCCCCCTTCCTCGAAAAAAACCACCAGCAACGAAGCAACCATGTTAGAAAGGGGAAAAGAGGGTGGCTCGGGAGTCATGGGTATCCTAGCTCAACCCAAAGAGATGGGGGTAAAATATGGTAGGGTCCTTCTCTTAAGGCAAGGGTCTTCAAACTGGGCAAGTTTTAAGACTGGTGGACTTCAACTCCCAGAATTCCTGAGCTAACTTGAGTGGAGGAGGAATTCTGGGAGTTGAAGTCCACAAGTCTTAAAGCTCTCAAGTTTGAAGACCCCTGCCTTAAGGCACCTCGAAACCGTGTTAAATCTTGATTCGATAAAACGTGGTTTCTTGACTGTAGGTTGGGTGTCGGTGTCGAGCCCTGAAAAAGAAAAGCTAGCCCAGGGATCTCCAACCTTGGCAACTTTAAAGACTTGTGGACTTCAACTCCCAGAATTCCTCAGCCAGCTTTGCAGCTGAAGTCCACAAGTCTTTAAAGTTGCCAAGGTTGGAGACTCCTGAGCTAGCCGGTTGTGCTCACAATATAGGAAAGATAATATACGTGGGTATATGCATAATTTTGTTTTTATTTATTTTGCTGTGTTTATGTGGTGAATATTGGAGGGGGTGGCTCTTTGAGAGCTGCATGCGATGGAATTTCATTTTATTGTGTGCCGATTAGGGTACAAAGTGACATTAATGTTATTCTGTTTAAATAGAGGTGTTCAACCTTAACTAATTTTATCAGAGGCTTAGTTTCTTTATAGTTTGCATGCTTTGTTGTGTATTCAAAGCAGTTGACTTGTTTTAATTACTTTTGGTTTTATGGTAGGTCATAGATTATAGTACTTTTGTTTTGCTATTCTAAACATGTTTTTATAGGCATGTTTCTATTACAAACCAATTTGAGTTTCTTCACTCAACATTCACTCCGTTTATTTCATTCTGCAACTTCTGGTAATCCTCTGCATATCGCATTCAGACCCTACCATCCACTTCTTTGGCTGATTATTATCATTGACCTTTTAATTAGCCTGAATCAGCCAAAGGAAGAAAGTTTGTGTGAAACGTTGTGTGTGTCTGTGTGTGGTGGTGGTTTTGGGTGAAGTCAAAATCATATTATGCCCCCCGTGGAGCAGGTCAATACCTCTTAGGGGATTAAAACTATAAAAACGTGGGTGTAAAAGCAAATTGCAGACAATGGGGTGTCTTGTTACTGGAGAGACTTAATAACAGCGAACCTTTTGCTTTGTGCCCTAAGTCTGTTCCAACGTTTGTTAACCTAATCCCTTTAAGAAGTGTGGACTTCAACTCCCAGAATTCCCCAGCCCAACTAGGGAATTCTGAGAGTTGAAGTCCACATAATCTTAAAGAGGTTGACAAACGTGCCTCTGCCAGGAATCAGAAGGCTACTGGCGCCATCAGCTGGGCATAACATTCGTTTGCTGAAAGTTGCACAAGAAGGGGCCCCTTCCGGATTTGGCAGGAGTTTCCATCAAATACATGAAAATGTAGCGTGATGGGATCAGGGCTGCAAATATTCAGAGGACAGTTACTGGCAGGCAACTTCTCTGTATCTCTAACCTTGCCATCTAGCAGCTCTCCGGATTTCTGGTAGCTTTAGAAGGGAGAAGTGCGAAATTTCCCGGGCAGCAAACATTTGCAGCCGGAAAACCGTTTTTTTGGATTAGAATGCAAAAGGGCGTGCTTTGAACTGCAGAAGGGAAACTTAACGATCCGTACATGCAATTAATTAATGAGAGCATTTCTGAGTATGTTGCCTCGCAATTCCACTGGCTATTTTGAGCAATTTAACTATAGAGGGGGCAATAGGCTGACTCTGTAAACAGCTTACGGAGGAGCTGTAAAGAGGTACCTAAGTCTACGGGCTATTGCTATATATCCAATAATTGCAAAACATACAGATGCTATTAATACAGCAGCAGCAGCAACAACTCTGGGGGGTCGGCAGAACCGCTGAGAAGAGCCGATCTTCGCTCGGCCAGAAACCGGCCTGCCCCAAAACTGCAAAACTCCCCCGGCTCCCCAAAAGTCATCCGGTCGCGCCCAGCCGCCGGAGCGCAAAAACCGTTCTGCCTCTCGCGGTCCCTTTAAGAGAGAGGAGGCGGCCGGAAGTCCTGGCAGGCGAGCCGCTGCTGCTGCTGCGCATGCTCCCTCCCTTCCTCCCAACCCCCCCAGCCCGGACTCGGCCGCTCGGAGACGGTAACGGGGGGGAGGGAACGCAGGGCGACGTTCTTGCTGCCGCTACGCTACGGGAGCCGGGACGCAGAGTGCGTGGAGATGAGGGAGGGGGTTGCGTTGGGTGAGCGCACGGCCGCTACCCCGCCGTACGTGCCGCCGCCGGGAGAGCGGACGTCGCAGCGCCGCTGCGGGGGGGGGGAAGTGGAGGGTGGGGAAAGGAGGAGGAGGAGGCGGCTGCGCCTGGCCTGGAGCGAGGGAAGAGGGGCGGGGCCACGGAGGGCTGAGGGGCTCGCGGGGCAGGCGAGGGGGCGGGGCCCGCGGGGGGAGGCGGGCTTTCCCCTCAGCCGCGCGGCCGCGATCGAACTCGCCCTCAGTGGCCAGTGTGGAAAGCCGTCCGCGGACGGTCCGCGAGGGCTGGTTCGCCCTCCCGCCGCCACCACCACCTCTCATCATCCCGAGCGGCCGGGCGAGCTGGGGATGATGGCAGTTGGAGTCTTCGGGCGTTGAAGTCGGGCCAGGCGCTTAAAAAAACAAACAAACAAACCTGCGGGCCGCTTTGCTCTCTCGCCCCCGCCGGGTCTGCCTTGGAACCGCCGGGCGTGGGGGGAGCGGAGCGAGTTTCGCCCGTGGAACTTGCCTCACCGGTTGAACTCGCCCCCTTTGATCCTCGTGGTTCTGAGGGACGGCTTGGAACTCGCGGCTTCCCGAGCCTCTCGGTCCAAAGCCTCGACTTCCTCCTCAGGCGGCCGCGGGGTTGAGGGGGGTTCCTTCCCTGGCCGAGTTAAAAGCCCATCTCCGTTCAGTGACAAAATCGTCCCGGGTTTCATCAAGCTCCTGTCCCCGGGACTGCTTCAACTCCTTCAAAAACTCAAAAAAAGAGAAAATGAAATATTATAGGGCCCTCTTACTTCAGCGGGATGGGCGGGGGGGGGGGGCTGGACTAGAAGACCTCAAAAGTCCCTTCCAGCTCTATTCAGGTTGATTGATTGAAGGAGAACCCCCCCCATCGGTTTTAAGTAGGATCCATAACAAAAATTAAAACGACAAAATTAGGACTTCAATTTAATACATAATCAGAGTAGGAGCCATGCTCCCCAAAATCTTCCTGCGATTTATTACACTCACTGAGATGGCTTTAGACAACAGACTGGTGGTGGTGATGGTGGTGATGGTGGTGGTTGGAGTTCGATGTAGGATAAATGACTTTAAACAACCTGTTGGAATAGCCGAGATCAAAGTGGCTTACGAAGAATTGGCCTTTTTTTATAAATGACAAATTATGATCAAAAAGGCTATCTTGATTTCTGTATAAAAAGCAATTGCAATCCATCTCTCTTTTTTTTAATGGCAATGCTAATGTGACATGATGGGTTTGGGATTGCATTTGTGGAAAACAATGTCCCCCCCCCCCCCCCAAAAAAAAAAATCACAGCTGAAATGCTCCTTAAATGTCCCTCTTCTATCACCCTTTTTCTATTCAATGTTAAAGGTTTTTTGGGTGGGTGGCTTTTTAAAATGACAAAATTGATGCCCTGGCACCATTATTCGAAGGATACCATTGTTGATTGCACAACTGTTTCACATGAAGAAAACTGCTAAATCTTATTTACAAAATAATAATAAAGATGCAAATAGTGTTCTTGTTTGCCTCAATTTTTGTTTTCCCATAATAATAAGCAGCTAAGGCATTCTGAGCCTTCTGTTGTAGCCCTGCCAATATTTATGGCACTGGTTCAACTAATCTAAAATAATGGCTGTGATTTGACTAAGTATAAACAATACTGAATTCATTTGGACTTACCTAAAAGTAAATTGGGAAAGTTGTGATATTGTTTCTGCTTTTGTAGAAGTAAATTCCATTAACATCCAGGGGAATTTGATGAAGATACACAGCATTTGCTCTATAAAATAACTAGCTGATAACCACTGAACCAATGATCAGTTATTCATTTAATTTATCCTGAATTCAGACATGTCTTTAAAGAACTATTCAAACACAAATAATATAATAATCTCCAATTGAATCATTTCAACCTTGCCTTTAAGAGAGACAATAAATTTTTGCATACTGAATAATTTTTAAAATTCATTGTTGTATAGTAGAATGACAACTAAGAGGGGTTTAGAACACTTCTAGGAAAGATTATTAGCAAGGTCATTAGAATTATATCTAACCTTCAGATTCAACACCACAATGTATTTCTCTGGGTGTCCTCTGAGAGTGAGTCAAAATGAGAGGAGGAAATTGAATTACGTTTGTGTATTACTAATGAGTTTTCTGCAGCCAGCAGGAGGGGCTGGTTGGTAGTGTGAAGCTGAATTTGTTGGACTATCATCTGATCCAGCAGTAACAATGGCCTATGATTTTGAAAATGAAAACAAGGGAACTGATACATTTTCACTTATGAAATGAGGTTTTGTGTTAAAGTTCTTATTTCCAAAGAACCACGTGTATGACCATTCTTACTGGAAATTCCACAAATCCTTGCTTCCCCAGCTCATCTGCTGATTCGGGAGCAACTAATAGCCAAAATTGCATTTGGGCGTCCTTTTGGCCATTAGTTTACAACCAATGTATTGTGGGAAGGGGTTTGGTTCTGGCATTGTTCTGCTGGCAAAGGAACAAAGAGAAAGCAAATGCAACTCCCACAATCTTGAATTATTTTAAAAAGCAGCAAATGCCTCCCACCAAGATCCAAGTCACCCATGACATCTTTTTGAGCCCTCTATAGATACCACATCAATCATTGCAATGTGACTTTCTAGCTTTCTCTGCCTATTGAGTGACACTGCTCAGTGTTTCAGCCTAATTGGTTGGTTTAAAAAAAGACCCCAAAACAAAACTGCCTGTGAACTCAGAAACAAACCAGCTGTACTAGGTATAGTCTAAGCCAATTGTATATAGGACTGCAGCCTTCACTTTCTAATGAATCCAACTTCATTATAAAATAATAGTTCTACAAAAAAGAATACACTTTTGTTTTCAGATGGCTCATGCCTCTGCTATAGCAGGTGCAGCCCAAATACAGAGAAAAGGGAACGCCTGTACATCTTTAATTGCTGTCACAATAGCCTCTTAAACTTTGCAAGAAAGCTAACAAGGCAAAGTCACTTTTGAGTTCCCAAGGAGTTAGTGGTAGGTAGGTTGCTCAATTATTCTGAGAACAATCTTAGGTTGTAAGGAGAGGTTAAGACTATTAAGAGAAGCCCCTGAGGTGTTGAGGATGTTTCTATCACATATGCAGTCCCTTTTGACCTACTATTATAGAGTATAATAATTGTGTGTAATTAGAGATGCCGGATCTCAACTCCCAAATCAAGGTTGCCTCGGTTTTTATTGTCTGCTACAGCATACTTGTCACCCCGTCGCTCAGACTTCATGTGAACAAATGGCAAATGCTGAAGTAAGCATCCCTGTAGGAGATGTGGTGGTTGTGCCAACTGAAGGAACGGAGGGGGGAAACCCAGAAGATACCAAAACCCAGGTTATATTACAACTACAGCCGGTGCAGCAAGGGTGAGTGACATGCCAGTAGCAAAACAAAATATTCCCAAGTAATTTCAAGTAATTGAGGGTTTAGAGCACGGCTTACCAACCTTTTGGACCTCAGGGACCACTAAATTCACAAATTTAAATCCCGTAGACCACTAATACATTTTTTTTAAAAAAAGATAAATAGTATTTAGTGCAATATAAAAAATGGAAATAATTTTTCTGCGGACCACCAACATTTTCTCATGGACCACCAGTTGTTGACTGCTGATTTAGAGGACTGCTCCAAGGAGAATTGAGAATGCAGGCATAAAAAAAAATGACATTCTTGCGATTTAGCAATTTTGCAGAAGATGGAATTTTAACAAGAGTTTGAGGTATTGGGAGATTCTAGATATGTTTAAAAATATGAAGGAACTTGCCTTCTCCATCAATCATTTTATGGTTGGATTTTATGGCTGGACAGAACCATAAAGTTAAGGACAATTTGGCCAACCCGCAGCTGGTGTAGCATTTATTAGAAGAGGTCAGCCCACCAGTCAGTTCATTCCACTGTGAAGCACATTGTATCAAAACAAGTTTGATTGTTTAATAACAATTTCCTTTCTTATATATAGACTTGAGTCCTTTCAGCTACAGCAAGAGAACTTGCTTCTCATGATATTAACCTTCCTTGGAGATAAAAATTACAGTGTCCCTGATGAAATTGGTGGGGAAAAAATACTGCTATGAATATTACTTTTTATATAAATGTTTATATAATCCAAAATAAACAATTTTGCAGGGAAACTTAATATTAATAAGTCAAATACATCAAACTAATATTGATAGGGCTAACAAGAAGTTATTGCTATATAAACCGACAACAGTAGAATAACCAAAAGATGAAGTATTAAAATTAAGATTTGGGGTTGCTGTTGAAAAGTGCCAAATTCCATAAATATGCAATTATTAATGGAAAATCCCATAAATAAATGTTACCCCTTCTGATGCCAGGGGCACACAGATTGATGTTGTGGGGATGTGATGTTCTTTCATGTTACTAGTTTTCAAATGACTACATCTTTTGTGTACTTACTGCCATTTTTACAGCAGAATTTATCAAGAGGGCTCTGAAACTAATGCGGCCGTGATGGCTGTAGAAACGCATACCATACACAAACTTGAAGATGGCATCGGTGAGTTCGCCGTGGTAATGATGCATCAGTTTCATGTTTAGCTCAACTGTATTGCAGCGTAATAGGGGTGCTTTGGATGAAGCCTGCAGGCAGCATGTGTAGCAGTGGTGGTATTCAACCAGTTCTGCCCAGTTCTGGAGAGCCAGTACGAGCGATGAGCAGCGGAGACCAAACCAGTTCTCTCTGCTGGCTCTGCTGTTGGGCCCACCTGTCCACCTGGGCTCTCATACTCACCTTTATCCGCTGAATTTGAAGTGTAGCTGCTTTGCGCAGCACAGAATAGTATTGCGTGGCAGCTGCTGAAGCAATTGGGATTGTGCAGGCTTGCAGGAGGCGAATTAGAACACCTGTGCGCCTGCGCAAATGACTCTCCGCCTGCACAAATTGCGCGTTTAGCACGCACGTGCACACAAAGTGTGTGCACACATGCAAAATGCGCCCACCGAGCCAGTGGCAACAATATTTGAATCCCACCACTGATGTGCTGTGGTTAGTGCACTGAAGCAGAAGCAGGAAGACACAGTGAACTCAGATGCACTGAATGGCTTTAATGCAGTCACTGCCTCTTTATCATCCATTGTACATCCCTGGGTTCATATTGGGAGGACAACACTGAAGAAGAAACAATATGTCCACTGTCTTTCTTGCAAACCAAAACTTTGCTCAGCAAAAGCAGAAATGGGCTGATCTGAAGCATAACAGTTTCTGCAATAGTTATTTGCATGGATGATGGCTTTCCCCCCACTCCATACAAGCAAGGGAAATACTAATCTTTCTACATATTTGCATAAGGTGGAACAAAGCCTGTAGCACTGCAAAAAGCTAGAATCCTTGAAAAAAGAGTCCTTGAGCTAAGAGGCCTTGGGAGCTTTCTTTCATTGTCTCTTCCTGTGTTGTCTAAAGGTTCACATTTCTGAAACTCAACTACAGCCACAAGGTAGTTCTTGTCAGACTACTGTCCAAATTTCATTTCCTATCTTCAGAATAACTGGAAATTTGCATATTATATTGGACATTCAAGAGTGTGAAAATGTGAGGATAGTATCCCAAAGAATTGTATTTTCCCCAAAAATATTTTCTAGGTAGAAGCTAGTACTTTGCTCTTACATTGTAGTTTAATTTTGGCATGATGTATTATGGGAGTTTAACCACTTACACCCCATGATTTATGGCTGAGTTGTGAATAGTATATCATGATTTATGGCTGAGTTAAACAAATCGGACCATGTATTACTAAAGATTAACCCAGTCCACAAGAAATCCCTGCCTTGTTAATGGCAACAAGGACAACAATGAATACAATTGTCTTCCTTTTATACTCTGAACTCTTCTGACTGCTATGCAACTGTACTGTGACGCTTGCCTAAATACTATAGAGTACATTATTTATGGATCCATCATAAGTTGTAAAGGTGAAACAAACTGTATAATTTTACCAGTGTATAAAGAAGTGATGGCTTAAAATGTATGTTCAGACTTGGAATCTCCAGTTTAAAATATATAGGATGAGAAAAGGCTTGAGATTTTTAAAGTCCTTTTCAGTCTTTGGGTTAGATCAAGGTGTCCAGTCTTGGCAACTTTTAAGACTTGTGGACTTCAACTCCCAGAATTCCCCAGCCAGCCATGGGGGATGCTGGCTAGGCTAGCTGGGGAATTCTGAGCATTGAAGTCCACGGGTCTTAAAATCACCAAGGCTGGACACACTTATGGTGAGATGAATCAGAACGGAGATCTCTGCATGCCTCTCAAATGTCTCCCTTATTTCCATCTGTAGATGCCAGTGCCCTTGAAAGCAATGAGGAAATTGAGATTGCCTACCCCATTACCTGTGGAGATAGCAAGGCCATCTTGCTCTGGAAGAAATTTGTGTGCCCAGGAATTAATGTCAAATGTGTTAAGGTAAATAGCATGGTGAAAGTGACTTTGCCAGCTCGCTTCTCTTCGTTCGGTGTTACTGGGTTTTTGACAGCATTCTTTTCCTTTGAAAAATGTCCCGCTTTCCACTGGATAGGCACAGGAGTATTAGGTTCACTAAAACGCTTAGCAATAAACTATTTAGGTGGCAGGGCTGAAGGCAATGTCTTTATTTCATTCCTGCAAGGAGACACCCCTTCCCCTGCCACAAGGACTTGGGCACCACTGTAAGAAAAATGTTGGGTCATGTCTGCCATAATAGATGTTTTTCTCGTGAGAGTCCCATTCTGCAGTATATAATTGAATGGCCAAAACTTCCCTGCTTATCCGCCTCATTTTTATCCCCAAACAGTTCTACATATTGCACAGTGTCAGCCGGGGAATCACAAAGCCCAGGTTGTATTAACGAAGTCCTAGTGTGTCTCTTGATGACATGAATAATGGGTGCTGCCTTGAAGACTGAACGGTTGCATTATATGCTTTCCATGAGAAAAATAAATGGTTCCCTTCCTCTTTTGATAGTTCAATGACCAGCTTATCAGCCCCAAGCACTTTGTTCACCTGGCTGGCAAGTCCACCCTGAAGGACTGGAAGCGAGCCATCCGCCTAGGAGGAATCATGCTGAGGTAACCGTCTTGTCATGTACAGGTAGTCCTCCACCTACGACCACAATTGAGCCCAAAATTTCTGTTGCTAAGCAAGACAAGTTGTTAAGTGAGTTTTGCCCCATTTTACAACCTTTCTGGCCACAACTGTTAAGTGAATCATTGCAGTTGTTAAGTTAGTCACAGAATCTGGCTTCCCCATTGACTTTTGTTGTCAGAAGGCTGCAAAAGGGGAATCACATGACCCTGGGACACTGCAGCCGTCAAAAATATGAGTCAGTTGCCAAGCATTTGATGTGGCCACAGGAATACTGCAAGGGTTGTAAGCATGAGAAACATCCATATGTCACTTTTTTCACACGGTTGTAACTTTTATCAGTCATTAAATCAACGGTTGTAAGTTGAAGATTACCTGTACCAAACTCTGGTGCAGACATCTGAATAGGAATATCCTCTCTCCTTAAAACTGTGGTACCTTGCATTTCTTGCTAAATAAAAATAGTGCTGAGAGTTTGACCCTGTGTATTTTTCACAGGAAATGATCCAGTGATTTCATGGGCCATTTTATACAGAACATTAGGAGGGGTTGATCCACAGCCGGGGTTTCCAAACTTGGCAACTTTAAGACTTGTGGACTACAACTCTCAGAATTCTCCAGCCAGCTATGCTTGAAGTCCATAAATTGAAGTCCATAAGTCTTAAAGTTGCCAAGTTTGGAGACCTCTGATCTACAGGTAGTCCTTGACTTACCACAGTAATTGAGCTTGGAAATAGGTTGTAAGTCATGCCAGTAGTTTGGTGGTTCATCACATGAACAACTTGATTTTACAATATTTTTTTATGGTGGGGATTAAATGAATCACCATGATCACTAAATGAACACTGCAGTCATTAAGTGACCCCATTGTTTGCAATGGGCATTTTTTGCTGGAAATTGGAAGTAAGTGCCAGTTTCCAGCAAAAAAAATATATATCATAAATTGAAGTCATGTGACTGCAGAACACTGCAAATGGCCATAAATGTGAACTAGTTGACAAGTGCCCAAAATGCAATTCTGTGACTGCAGAAGGATGCATCCAATAGGACTTGTAAGTACCTTTTGGGGGGGGGTCTCCTAGAACTTTCACAAAGAGACCGTTCGGAGGTCGTGGACTTTTTATAAGTGAATCCTGTTATTCATGGCTTCCTTAACTGCGGTTTCAAGTGTCTTAAGGCAGGTAATACAAATTAGACATTATCAATGGTAAAAGGATTGGGTCTATTCAGGAGAGAACTTTTGGAGAATTTTTCTGGGTGTGTAACATGCACAAAATGGTGGAGGTGTTTTGCCCTGAAGTAAAGTATATTTGTAATACCCTCATTATCCCTGATTTTATTACCCACAATCTTTGGGCTGGAACAGCCTCCAATGAATAATAAGGGCCACATTGGAGGATCCCATAAATTGTAGTTGTTAATCCTTTCCATATTGCCGGATAAATTGGGATAGAAATACTTTTTTTCTTACGATAAAGAACCATGCACTTCATGGTAAACCTTCCATTGAATTATATAACTGTGGTTGTACATAAGCTAAATGGGACAGAGCATTGTTTGATGCACCATGCTCAAAGGCTTTGTCTTTTTACATTTTCATCTTAGACAACTGTTTGAACTGATTTTCATCCCCCCTCAGATGACTGTTCTGTTTTCCATTCATTGTGCAGAAAGATGATGGACTCTGGGCAAATTGATTTCTATCAGCATGACAAAGTGTGCACCAACACCTGCCGAAGCACCAAATTTGATCTCCTGTTCAGCAGTGCCAGGGCCCCAGTACCAGGACAAACAAGCCTGGTACAGACTCCCACTTCTGCTGATGGTAGGTCTCTCCCTTATTAAAACTCTGCCTTGACTAGAATAAGTGTAAATTGAAATAGAGTGGGGGATAGAGTTACAAATTCTGTTACAATATCCTCACTGAATTTATGTGCTTTCCAAGATTTCTAGGCACTCCTATTGCTTGACTGTCTACCTTAAAGGGCTGACAACACGCCTGATTTGTGTGAAATATTTATCATGTGGTTTAATCCTGGGCTACACCCAAAGGGCTTTGAGATAGAAGGGCATTGTGCCCAGTGTTGAAGAACGTATTGTCTTACTTCTCATTCCACATTTTGTTTCTTTTTGTGAGAAAGGGTTTTTTTTTAGTTCAGCTACTTCAATTAATTCGAGCATAACAAGTTTAATGTATAAGGTGAAGCCACATGACAAATATTCCGTACAATTCAGGTGTGACTTGAATATTGAAAGGAAAAATGCAATTCGTATAAACCAGGGACTTTCAACCTCGGCCACTTTAAGATGTGTGGACTTGAAACTTTCAGAATTCCACAGCCAGCATTGAATTGAAAAACACAAATGTAAAGTGTACCAATGTGGTAGTTACACTCAAACATTTCTTCATTCATTGCAGCATCTACAGAATTTACGTAACATTTCAAAAGCAATGGCTTTATTGTGCCAACCTTGAGGATATGTTGATCAGCCCAAAGCAATCTTGCTTAACTTGCCCAAGGTGGCACCTTCCAAGAGCAATTCTCAAGCTGTCCAGCTAGTATTGAGACATGTTGGCTGAGAATCCGAGGAACTGCTGTCCTCACACAGAATGTAAAATGGTCAAGGCTGGTCTGGAAGGACTAAGTTCACACTCAGTGCTAAGACCTAATGTGCTGTGAGCTGTCTTTTGAACGTCCCAGCCATTGTGATTTGGAAATTATGGTGTGTGGCTTAATGTACGGTGTAAACCCTATCATTATGTCATATCAAGTCATAGACTTACAGATGAATAGTTGTCTTAACAGAACTTATCCCAATGTATCATCTAGATGTGTGGGTGGTTGAGGAGTTACTGTGGCAGCAGAGTATCAGACTGGTCTTCTCTTATTCAGGAAGCATCACTCAAATTGCAGTGTCTGAGGAAAGTGTAGAAGAAGGGATTGAATGGAATTCTGCTATGACAGCAGCAGTCACTATGGCAACTGATGAGGGAATCAAGAAAGACCCAGAGGAGATTTCAGGTTGGTCCTTCCCATTTCTCTGTACAGCTTGCATACTTTTTTCATTTCCTCTGCACACTTTGGAAAGGAGAGGAAGTGGAGTAAGAGAAGCAAACTTTTGCCGGTGATGGTTGGGATTACTCGGCGTTGCATCCTCAGTCTTTCTGTAGGGTACCAATTTGGGGAAAACTGATCCTAAACCTGACTCATCAGCAGTGGCATGCACTGCCCTTGAACGATCCTTTGATAATTTGCACCATAAGACAGAAGGCTTCTAGTGTCTTACTTGTCATGCCCTGAAAGCTATTTTCAGCCTGTTGCAACTGTTTGTGAACACACATGTGCTGCAAGCATAATTTGTAAGTAATCAATGAACAGTCCACACCAGTGTTCTCAACCATGATTACATAAAGAGGTGTTGACTTCAACTCTCAGAACTCTGGCTGGGGAATTCTGGGGGTTGAAGTCCACACATCTTCAATTAGCCAAGGTTGAGAAATACTGATCTGGAGTGGGCGTCTTTTAGTTCAGAAATACAGATAATGCTTATGGGTTGGATCAACAAGGTAGCAATCAATTCCTTAAGGTGCTTGTGGATGTATAGTAGTTTGCTGGTCCCAGCAGTAGAAATTTTGCTGTTTTTTTCTTTAAAAATGTTTTATCTTTCTGTGGCAGAGGAGATGCTGATGTTTTGGAAAGGCATTGCTGATGTGGGCTTGATGGAAGAAGTGGTCTGTAATATTCAGAAGGAGATAGAGGAGGTGCTAAGAGGGGTACAGCAGAGGCTTGTCCAGTCCCCCTTCCAGATTACCGGTGGGTAAGAGGTCAGCAGTCTCTATGTTGATATGAAATGATAACCACTAGGGAAGACTTCCTGCCTTACATGTAGTCCTTGACCTACAACAGTTCACTGAGTGACTGAAGTTATAACATCACTGAAAAAAGTGACTTATGACCGGTTTTCACACTTACAACCATTGCAGCCTCCCCATGGTCACGTGATCAGAATTTGGATGCTTGGCAACTGGTTCACATTTATGACGGTTGCAGTGTCCCAGGATCATGGGATCCCCCTTTGCGACCTTCTGACAAGCAAAGTCAATGGGGAAGCCCAGATTGATATAACAACCGTGTTACTAACTTAACAACTGCAGGGATTCACTGAACAACCATGGCAAGAAAGGTTGTAAAATGGGGGCAAATTTACTTAACAACTTTCTCACTTAGCAGCAGAAATTTTAGGCTCAATTGTGGTCGTAAGTCAAGGACTACTTGTATTTATGCTTGGTGAATTATCTGTCTCGATAATGCTTGTTTTGTCATTTTATTAACTACTCTCCGATGATAGTTCCCTTATGAGAAGTGATCTCAAAATGCAATGCAATCCTATAAAATCAAAAATAGTGAACATTAACAGGAAAATGCCAAAACCAATTAAAACCCATCAAACTCGTAAATCATCTTTTTCCAGAATGTTTTCATTGTCTAAATGTTTATCATAGCTCCCCTAGTATCCAGTCACCTCTGTTGCTTCAGTACTGGAAAAAGAAACTTTTATAAAGCATACTTATAAAGGAGAATATCTGCAGCTCAGGGTTGAAATGAAGGGTCCTTGGGGCTTTCTGAACTGGCTTGTTTTCTTGCAGAAAGACCCAAACTAGGTAACATCATCAGTGCTGGGGTAGTTTGGGTAATGAAACGTCTGCAAAAAAAACAAGCTCACAGAGCACCAAGGACCCCTCATAAAGCATACTAGAATGGCCAGATGACAATGATGAGAATAGAAATAATAATAATAATAATAATAATAATAATAATAATAATAATAATAATAATAATAATAATAATAATAATAATAATAATAAAAATAATAAGGAGGGAGAAGAGGAAAGAGGTCTACCTGATACTGAAAATATATCACTAGTGATACCAGGAGAGTCTACCCCTGAGGCTGAAGAGGAAAAATGTACTTCAGGTTGTTGCATATTTGTGATTTTCTGCAAAATTTCTCATTGAAATTTACATAATAATACATTAGGCACTTGTTGACTATAAAATTTCTGATGTAGTCTCACCTACACTGTTTGCAAACTAAATTGGGTAGAATTATTCCTGCTTTGGAATTCTTGAGCAAGTAGGTTGCTAAGTCAGGGAAAGAGTATTATTATAAGTATTTTCTTTATCTTTTTTTTCCAATTGTTAAATATTCTCTTCTTAGTGTCAGTTTCCATGGCTGTTGTAGGCGAACCTTGCAAAATCAAGACGGCAAGTGCTACCAAAGTGTTAAGTAACCCTGCATGGGCAAACAAGGAATAGCTCAGGTCTTTCTGCCTGGGAGTTGGGATCCCATTTAGAACATTAGTCAATATCTGTGAATGTCTTCCTGTAGATGCTGCTGTTCTAAATAATGTCGCTCACACTTTTGGCCTGATGGACACAGTGAAAAGAGTGCTGGATAACAGGAAGAGTCAAACAGATCAGGGAGAGGAGCAATTTCTTAACACTCTTGCAGGTAATTTTGAAATGGGAACTTTCTTAGCTCATCAATTAATTGTGCAAGAAATGTGCCTGGGTTGCTTGGTTGCTGTACTACATTCATATTCCCTCAAATTTGCTTTTTTGATGAGGAGGCTAAACCTTCCAGATGTTATTAAGATTAAAGCACGTACATTGTACTCCCGCAGCTGATGGTCAGTTGGTCCTAAATTAAGCATTTTTTTTTACAACATACCTCCTTCTCCTCCTTTCTATCCTCCTCTTCCTCTTCTATTTCTTATATACAGAAAATTCCTTACAATTACCAAAAGTATGATATTAGTCACATTGAATACACTTTTATGTCTGTGGCGATTCTCAATCATCCAGATGATGGTTGTCTCAAAGGTGCTTTTACCAAAGGCAATTGGACTTTCTTGTTTTTTTTCCTTGAAAATGTTTTGCTTCAAAAAGAACTCATCCGTTCTGAAGAAGCTTCTTGGATAAGAAGCAAAATATTTTCAAGGGGAAACACCCCCCCCCCCAAGAAAGTCTGGTTGCCTTTTGGAAAAGCACCTTTGGAACAATAAACACTTTTATCTTTTCCCAAGAGGCATTAGCTATATTCTGACCAGCATTTTTGCTGTAATATTTTTGGTAGTTTTTGTATACGTTGGAGGTTTGAAAACTTGCATATGGTGCTGTTTTAATTTTAAAGCTGCTGTTGTCTGCAGCTCTGAGATGGGGTTAAGCAGCACTTGGAGAGGTAAATTAGTTTCTCCTCTCCATCCCAGTTTTTTTTTTTTTTTGTTCTCTAAATAATTGGAATTATCCTCATAAGCCGCGGTGCTGCAGTGGTTCACGCAGGCTACTTCTGCTAGCTGCCTGCAGTTTGGCAGATCGAATCTCACCAGGTTCAAGGTTGACTCAGCCTTCCAGCCTTCCGAGGTGGGTAAAATGAGGACCCAGATTGTTGGGGGCAATAGGCTGTAAACCACTTAGAGGGCTGGGAAGCCCTGTGAAGCAGCATATAAGTCTGCTATTGCTTAGGAAGGAAGGAAGGAAGGAAGGAAGGAAGGAAGGAAGGAAGGAAGGAAGGAAGGAAGGAAGGAAGGAAGGAAGCCATGGTGGCGCAGTGGATAGAATCAGAATTTCAGGCTAACTCTGCCTACTGTTCCGAGGTGGGTCAAATGAGGACCCAGATTGTTGGGGCAAGAAGCTGGTTCTGTAAACTGCTTAGAGAGGGCTGTGAAACACCGTGAGGCGGTAGATAAGTCTTAAGTGCTATTGCTATTCCTGTCTACTGTTCTTTTGGCACAGGAGAAATGACTGGATGACATACCTAGAAATAGTTTCCCTACCTCCTCTTGTCTTTTGTGCTGCTTGTGTGACAATTTCCAAAGCATTTCCTTGACTAGCCTATGCCATAAATCCTTCTCCCAGCACTAGATCGCCAACTAGAAGAGCAGAAGAAGTTCGCCAGGAGCCCATCCATTCAGAATGTGGTCCTGATGCCAGTCAACACTCCAAAGCCTCCCAAAAGGCCCCGGTTGAAACGTCCCGCTTCGGCCACAGTTCTAAGCCCCTCGGCTCCCATCCAGCAACCTCAATTCACCGTCATCTCGCCCATCACCATCGCACCCATGGGACAGCAGTTTTCCGTTAGCAACATTCCAATGGCCACAATCAGCCAGGGCTCCAGCCCAGTGACTGTCCACACATTGCCCTCAGGTTCCCAGCTCTTCCGCTACGCCACCGTGGTTTCTTCCTCCAAAACCAGCACGTCTGATACAGTGACACTTCACCCCTCCTCAAGCTTAGCCCTGCTGAGCTCAGCAGCGATGCAGGACAGTGGGACCCTTGCCAACGTGGCCACCATGGTGAATCCTGTGGAACTGGTGGCCATGGAGTCTGGCCTGACTTCTACCATCCAGGCTGTCGAAGGCACTTCGGAGGACGGACAGACAATCATAGAAATAGACCCAGCGCCTGATCCAGAAGCCGATCCTGAAGAATCAGGGGGGAAAGCTGTGATTTTGGGGACAGAATTGAGGACTGAGGAGAAGGTGGTGGCTGAGGTTGATGAACATCAGCACCAGGTCCATAATGTGGAGATCGTAGTCTTGGAGGACTAGTCAACAAGCCATCCTGCCTTGCTAAATGATTGTTCACCTCTTACCTTTTCTATTGGTTTGATCCCCCTTTTCTTTTTTGCTTTTACAGCCTTGTTGCAGGTAAGTTTACACGAATGCTGGTGATCATTTTTAAGCAGTCATTTTCTCTAGTGGGGAACGAGCAGGCAGGCTGCGGATGTGTGTGGATGATGGTTTGTTGGGAAAAGGGAGAGGTCAGAACTTTTCCTGCCTAGTGAAAGGGGAAACAAGCCATTGCTGTTATTCCCTCGGGGAGGAGGGGTGGCAAGTCCGTAGACCCAGATTTGAAGCGATCCTTCTTGGATTGTCCGCCTCAGAAACAAAGCCGGCTCCTTGGAAATGTAACGACTGGATGAGTAATGACCTTAAAGCAAGAGCTTCCGTCTGGACCTTGAGCTCTTCTTCACCCTGGGAAGGGAGATTCCATGTCCATTTCTGACTCTCCCAGCATTTTGCATTTTTGGATGTGGCAGAAGAAAACAAAGCACTCTGATTGATCAGGTCACCAGCCCTTCTTTGGAATGTACTGTGTTTTTTTTTGTTTTTTTGTTTTAATATTTTCCTTAAGCTATTTGCCCATTTGTGGCTTCAAAAATTGGATCCTTGGCTTTTCGTTTTTGTACTTTCTCCAGCAGTTTTTCTTTTCCCTCGGTTGTTACAAGACTTCTAGGAAATGCTTACGCTTTATGCCCACGCAGGCACATACAGGGAGAAACTAGGAACTGATAACGGCAGATGCAGCACCCAACGACCACCTGCTCTCGCAAGTACAGAACCGATAACCTGGATGTCTGTATACGTGGCGGGAGAATTGGGCTCAGCAAGTAGGGCATGCCTGCCGCTTACTCGGCACTCTGGGAAACCATAACATGCTGGCTTAGGTGTGCGTGTGTCTCTGTGTGTGTATGTTTGATGTTCATAATTTTTTGGGGAGGGGAAAAACAGATTACAGGAGTCTGGATGGCACATCCCTTTGGCAATGCGGCTGTCTGGTCTCCCTGTCTGTCAAGCTGGGTGTGTGTGTGTGGATTGTTTTGAGTATCTTCCTTAAGGGAAGAGAAAGGAGTAGGGAGAAAAAAAAAAGGATTTCCTTCCCCAGCCTCCCTACTGGCCGTAACACAGTGCTTATGGTCTCCCTCTCCATATTTTAAGAAGTTAGAATTCAGAGTTGGAAGACTTGAAGAGTAAACCAGTTGAATTGTTTTTAAAACAACAGTTTAAAAAAAAAAACGCCCCATGGGGGGAGTGCCATTTGTTTTGTTTAGATTTTCTTTGCATTAAAAGATAAGGAAAAACAAAAGCGTAAGAGGACTGCTCCTTATGTTGACACGGTCTCCATTCACCTCTCTGTTTTTATCCTCCCACGGAGGGGCTTTGGTGGGCCCCTTTGGAGCCGGAATGGCTAAAGGTTACCAAAAGGGCCTGCTTGGAGATCAGAATTCAAAGAAGGGTAAATATGATGATGAGAACATGTGGGACTGAGCACTAAAGGGAAGGGCCTAAAGCCACAAAAAAAAACTCCCCACTTCTCCAAATGAATGGTCTTGCAAAAGGAAGTCTATCTGGCTGCATCCATCGGCAATTACAGCGTCTTTGCCACCGTTCTCCCTGCAGAAAAGAAATCAGCAGGGCTGGGCTCGTTTGAAGGCAAATGAAGAACATCGTGGCTTCAAAATCTAAGGGACTGGTTTGGTCAAAAAATCGGCATCACTTTTTCATTGCGGCTGTTGATAAAAATAGGATTGCCAACATGATCACCAAAGGATATGGCACAAAGAAGGGCTGGGCACGTCCCAGGGTTACGTGATCAGCATTTGCGACATGCCTAGCTGGCTTCCAAACAAGCGAAGTCGATGGGGGCGGGAAGTAGCCAGATTTGCTTAACAACCACGACTAATCACTTAACAACTGTGGCAAAAAGGTCATAAAATGGGGCGCAACTCAGGCAACAATGGTCTTGCTTAGCAATGGAAATTTTGGGCTCAGTCGTGTTTGTAAGTTGAGGACTACCTGTATGCGTATTCTCCTTTGGGTCATTAAAATCAGTCAGAAGTCAGTGGAATATAAATAGACTCGCTATTTTTTTTAAAAAAAGAATATAGATAGTAAAGAGAACCAGCGAAATCAGCCTACTTTTGATCACATCAAAGCGAAATCATTTCCCTCCATTTCTTTGGAAAGTTGAGGTCACATATATACAAGAAAAACAAAGGGGAACTCCTACCAAATGTTGAAATGGCATCTCTTGACAAGAGGATGGTCACTGGTTTGACTACAACAGTGTTTGCTCCTGGCTGGGGAATTCTAGGAGTTGAAGTCCACATGTCTTAAAAGTTCCCAGGTTGAAAAATACTGTTCTACACCATCTGTCTTCCCTTTTTTGTGTGAAGTGAATGTGCCCTTTTCACACATTCACTTTCTAAAGCTGAAGAAAGTGGTACAGCATATTGCAGCTTCAGTCTTCACTATCAAAAGCAAAGAAGAAAAGGATTTAGTGTCTCAAGATCTTTAACCCATTGTGTTGAGGCTAAATTTGATCACTTTTTGCTTTAATACAAGGCTTGAACTCTACCAAATGTGGGTTATTTAACAATGCATGATTAAAATATGGTTAAGCACAGTGTATGGATCTGATCACAGTCCTTGCGCAGATGAAAAATGGCAGAAATTTGCATATCATCCTTGAGAACCAGAACTTTTCACTTGTCCAAAGCTGGTCCATTATTCTTTTTTTTTTTTAATTTTTTATTGTTTTTTAACATACAAAACACAACAAAACATAAAAGTATCAGCTCCCCCATATTTTTGTACACACAGTAAGTCGGTTGGTCCATCGGTTTTGTGCATTCACCTCATAGTCACAATTACAATTACCTTATATAATACTCTTATCAATACAAATTAATTCTTTAGTTATCACAGTTAATAAAAGTGTCTGTGCTGAGCTGTAAACTCAGCAGCCTATTTCAGTTCAAAGAAAAGGTCACTAAACATTTTTTTTCTCAACAAAGTTTTGTTTACTAAAAATGATATGTGTAACAACTCAGAAACAATTTAGATGATTTAAGTATAACTTTTCAATACACTGTTCATAGCACAGTACATGTAGTAAACTAACAGGATTTAATAATAAGATGTGTCTACTTAGCTCAATAGGTCCACGTTTTCATGTACCAGCTTTATACACTCAGGCACTCAAAAGGATCGCGCACCTAAAGCAAATAACTGCCAGTGAGATTTGTGATGGTGTGTAGGATCAGATCCAGGTTCAAGTCTGCCATCAGTCACAAGCAACACTGGGTGACTTTGAGGGCACCCACTCTCAACCCAGTTTATCACAAGCAACTTGTGGAGAAAATAAAAGGAAATAACAGAGTTGGAAGGGACCTTGGGAGGCCTTATAGTCCAACCCCCTGTTCAAGCAAGAGACCATACAAAGCATGTACCAATCCAACAATATTTTACAAATCACGGTGACCCATAACATGACAAAACAAAACAAAACAAGCCCATCATGGCTCAGCATATTATGCATAACTAATCATCAGCCAGCTTTGGCAGATCTAGAAAGCTGAACAGGCAAGCCAGTTTCTTCCTGGTTTAATCAGTTTCTTCCTGGTTTATACCTGGATCTGGGGTCACCAGAGAATTCCAAGATTGTAGGCTCGACGCTGAAGTCAGCAAAAGAGGAAGGAGAAAGCTGCAACTTACACTTTGAGCTTGCCATGAACGTCAAACTCAACTCCCGGCCAACGTTCCCTTTCCCTGCCTTCCCCACTTGGGATCCTTCAGGTCGGGATGATTTAGAGACGCTAGTTAGGAATTAAAGGTTCACTGATGCAAGCCCAGCGGAAAGGGACAGTCCTTATCGCCGCGGTCAATAACTCTCGATTCCTCGTCCACACCAGATTCATACAACTCGTGTAATATGTACACGTGGAAAGAGTCGCTCGCACGGCTCGCCACTTCTTTCTCCAGGGCATTTCCCTGCCTGCCTTTCCAAACTTCCCCAATGGGGGCGCTGCCGACCCCCTTTTACAAACAAGCGCCATCAGCCATTTTACCCGTCGTGCTTTTCTCCCACCAATGCTGCTCCAGGCTGCCGCCACCGCCTCCCTCTCTTTCCTCTTCCCCCTCCCCGTCCCTTTTTTTTTTCCGCCTGGCTTCGCGCCTGCTCCCTTAAGAGCGCGCGCGCCTCTCCTCTCGCCTTTCGGCCGCGTGACCGTCGCTTGGTGAGACGAGCCGAGCCATCCTGCTTGCCGCGCCCGCCCATTCGCCCCCCTACCTCGTCTCTTCCCCCCCCCCGCATTCCGCCTCCGAGTGCGCGCGCGATCGGGCGGGCGAGCACCATAGAGCGCGAGCTGCGGGCAGCCGTCGAGCGGCTAGAGCGCCGACGCAAGAGCGAGGCGAGCGGGCGGAGCCGCGGGCGGGGCGAGCCAGTCAGAGTCCGCCAGGAAGCCGAGAGCGATCCGCGCGGTGTGTCTGCTGCTGCTCCTCCTTCCCCGGACAAAGCCGCCGCCGTTGCCGCCACTCCCGCCCCACACCTCGCCGCGCCGCTCGCCTCGGAACCCCGCCGCTTAACGGAGAGCCATGTCGGCCAGCAGCCTCCTGGAGCAGGTAAGCCGTGTGGCGGTAGGAGAGAGAGCGGCGCCCCAGGCGTGAGGGGCGCTACGCTGGGAAAGGCCCCGGCTTCAGGCCTAGCCGGGGGAAGGAAGGGGGGCGGCCAAACGGACGGAGAAAGGCTCGCGCCTCCACTTACCTCGCGTTACCCTCCCCCCGCAAACGAACCCCCGCCGGGCCTGGCCCTCCTCCTCCTCCGTCTCCCGCCGGCAGGTCGGAGCGGCCTAGGTTGGGGCTCGGCTTCTTTCTCCCCTCCTTTAGCCCGGACGGGCCTGTTCTTTGCCGCCGCATGACTTATGGCTTCTCTCCCTCTTCCCCTTCCTGCCTCGCTCTGGCCGCCGCCTCGTGTCCGCTCCAGAGACCGAAGGGACAAGGCACCAAAGGTGAGGAAGCCGCAGTCGCGCTGTGTGTGGGGGGGAGGGCGGGGGAGGGGGCGGCGGTTTTCTGAGGGGGCCTCGGGGGGGGGAGGAGGAGGGGGAGGTGGAGGGTGGGCGACTCCGAGTTCCAGCTTATGACGGTGTCCCTTGTCTCGGCCATGTGTGGGCCCGGGTCCCTCGCTCTCTTTGGGAGGAAGGAAGGCGGGGCGGGGGCGTTTAACCCTAAAAAGCGAGAAATAACCCCCCCCCGGGGCAAAAGATGTGGGATCGGAGGCGTCCAGTCTCTTGCACTGAACTGCCCGCAGAGGTTGCGACTCTGAAAACGGCCGGCTTGCTTGTCCAGGAGAGTTTAATGGTGTCCTTCTCCGTAAAAGGCAAAGCAGCCTATGAATAGGTCCCTTTTTATCGGGCTGGGTAAGGAAGGAGAGGTTTGTCGATTACTGTAAAAAGGAAAAAGTTGAGTCACAATTAAAAAAGCCCCGAGTGAAAAAAAAAAAACATTCATTCAAAACGGTTCAGTGGCTGATTCTGGTAGTTGAATTTCTTCCCCTCTCTTTTCCTCTGTGTGTTCTCTCCCATTGGGCCACTCACCCACCCACCCATATTGGCAGAAGGGTGATAAGGAATGGTTTGGTGTGAAGAGCCCCCACACAAAAAGGGGAGGGCTGCTTCCAGGAAGACTTTTAAAAAGCAAACAAAAAGCAAAAAAACCCAAACCCTGGCTTTTGATTAAAAATGACCCTTTTAAAAAAATTATTGCACCTAGGTAGCTGGATCTGCAGTATTTAAACCAAAGGCGGAAAAGAATGGCCTGAATAGATATCAATAGATAACTAATCTTATCTTTCATATTTACTTTTTTTTTAAACTTTCCTTGTTTTAATGAGTAGGCATAGCTTTAAATGTAACCTTTGAAGGCTGAAGTGAGAGTAGTG